GATGGCAGATTTTTCAGTGCTAAAGTGGCATGATAAACAAGACTCTAACATGCAAACACTTCAAGTACAACATGCTAGTAGGCTTAAACATTGAAAACTAATGAAGAACACAACACTAGAACCATGCAATACAATGCTTAATGGACAAACCAGCCCTAAACAGACCTCGTGCATCCAAAACAGTGGCCAAAATGTGCTGAGATGATGGCTTGAAAGGCAAGAAAATGATGCTCATGCAAAAGCTCACAAACAAGGCATAAAAGGTGCAACTCTCAAGAGCACTTAAAGAGTGAAAAACATGGGAGTGTGACAACACTATATGCTCTGAAATAACATACCAAATGATGCCAAGACATGTAAATACCTCAAGCCAAGCATGCATAACAAGCATCGTACGACCAAGAAGGCTCAAAACAGAGCTAAAGCATGCCAAAATATGAACAAAAGCATGCTGGAGTATAGCCAAAATGAGCTAGAATAATAGGCTAAAGAGACAAGCATGCGAGGCTAGCTAGTAAGGATTACACTACAAGTGTATAAAGCATGCAAGAGGTGAGTCCACCAATCAAAATCAGAGTTATAACGTGCCAAAATAATACCCAAAACATGCTTGAACTAGGCTAATTCAAACAACAAGAGGCATGCTACTTTGTAAGGCTAACAAGGCTAGTGAGCAAGATTGCACTACAAGTGCAAGAAGCATGCAGAGAACGACCAAGATGACCAAAAACAGAGTTATGGTAGGTCCCAAAAGTCACAAAAATGTGCTCAAACTAAGCCACAAAAAGAGAGAAACACATGCTGATTTGGTGGGCCAACAAACACAAGCAAACAAGACAAGATGAGAGGGGACCACCCCCTCCTATTTAGGACCTCAAACAAGGTTTTACCACTGAAAATTCTCTAGATTTCAGTGGTTAAAAGGCCATGAAAAGTTGTTTTGAAAGACCTCGAGAGATAGCTCAAAAGGCTTTACAAGCCAAGGAGCAAAAAGGAGAGACAACCCCCTAGCCAAACAAGGCTTAAACTACCATTTTAGAACCTCAAAATCAGAGATTTTTATGGTTCAAAACTAGCCCCAAAATAGTCCAAAACAATGGGAAAATGATGGTGAAGCAAATGTGAAAGACAAGCTTAAAGGGTGAAAGTTTTACCTCTTGGAGGGAAGCACACTTTGAGGCACAAAACCAAGTCAAAACCTCCTTAATGAGCTCCAAAAAGACCTTCTAGCAACCTCAGCCCAATGATCAACAACTCTTGTTAAGGGTTGATAGGTTGAAGATGGATGTATGCAAGCTTCTAGCACAAAACTCTTAGAGAGAGAGGAATCTAGAGAGTTGATTGAGAGAGAGAGGCTCCCAAAGCTTTGCCAAATTCTTCTCAAATGTTCTAAACCTTCAAAACAATAGATAAGGCCTCCATATATAGCAAAAGAGAGATTGGGTCGAAAATATCTCAGAGAGACAGCTGTGCCAGTTGGAGAAAAATATCTGGATTTTACATGGGTGGCGGCACTAGTTGCCGGCCATCAATGGTATATTGCCGGCCATCAATGTGCCTCTACCGGCCATCAAAATCTGCTTCCAGGCACGACTTCAATGGGCATATCTCCTTCATCTGACTCTTTTGCAAGTCATTCTTGTGTTCAAATTGAAGCCCCGGAAGTAACCTTTCCAATGGTGGAAGCCTCACATCAAAATTCCATGTGTGCTAAGAGATATCTCTCTTTTAGTGAAGGTTTCTCATTTCCAGCTCAATCGAATTGATGCCTAACTTCAACCAACCATATCTCCCCCATTCGGACTCGGCTGCAGGAGATTCTTGAGTGTAAAATGAAGCCCTAGAAATCTTATTTTCAACGGTGTGGCCTCATAGCTGAAATCCAAATGTACAAAAGGATAAGCCTGATTTAACGAGGGTTGCTTGACTCTCTCGTAACGATTCATGCCCAACTCCTTCCCCAACTGGGTTTCTTCCCTCTTCTCCTCTTTTCTTCAACTCCAAACCCCTAAACAAGGTGTTTTGAAAGATTTTTCAAAGAGTTCATCTCTCTTTCATTCATTCCACTTTGTCCTTGTTCGGTTTATCGAAAAGCGTAACATTTAACAAAATGCGAGCATCGGAACATCGTAGAATCATTTTCAAAAACATCTTGAAAGAGAGGGTTTTAAAGTCTAAAATCTTTTGGTAAAGATCATTTTGGTCCAAAAAGGGGGTGTAGGGTTGAGATTTGACTCTCTCCTTGCCGAAGAAATCGAACCCTTGCACTGCACAACTTTCCCACCCAATAAACCATCAGTAGTGCCCAAGTCTTAAAGGCGGTAAAAAATGGGGTGTCAACACCTGTCGAAGAGAAGAAAAAAAAGAAAAAGAAAAAGAAAAAAAAATGACCAATCAAAAAAGAAAGGGGGTCGAAGCGGGTGGGGGGAAGGGGGTCCCAATTTTTATTCTTATGTTTTATATTTCTCAACATTGTACAAATCTAGCTTTATTATGTTTGATATGTGTTGGAATAATTTTCTGTGTAAATAAAATAAATTGAAATTAAATCAAACAAAATAAAATAAAAAACTTACAGAATTTATTTTGTCGAACCAAATAAAAAATAAAAGACCAAGTTGAGTGTGTGACATTCTATCCTTAAGACAGATTCACTCCGCTACGGTGCTTATGGTGATGTGGCGTCTATCTCTCAAGATACAATGATCTTCACAAATTTGTAGTAGCACTCCAAACAAATTTGTTCGACGAACTAGAACCTTGTGTTCTCTACTCTCTTTAAAATTAATTCTAAAAACTAATATGAAGAATAATGCAAAACCAATAAAATCTGGACAGCAAAAGAGACAATTTCAGATTGTTTTCGGACCCCCAAACCTACTGGAACATGGCTGTATTTATAGGCAAAAATATCATACCTGAACAGGTGCTAAATTGAATGAACAGGTGCAAAACTGGATTGAACAGATACAGGTTTAAATTCAAACAGATTTGAACACTGTTTGAATCTGTAACTGCTGGTAGTTTTCAGCAGTTAAAAACCTGTTAAACAATTTGAAAACTGAATAGATTTGAACCTGTATCTGAACAGATACAATTGCTGTTATGAAATTGAATCTATCCGAAATATATAACAGATTGAAAACTGTTTGGACAGTTTTGAATCTGTCCGGCAGTTTAAAAATCTGTCCAGAATTGCAACTGTAGTGGAATATGAAAGAGACACAAATTTGGACAAAAAAATTTGAATTCAAATTTAAATTTGGAATTAAATTCCCGCAATAATTTTTGAAAAAATTCAAAAGAATTTTTTCTAAAAAATTAATATTATAACCGATCCGACCCACAACCGGCATGGCTCAGCTTAGCTCGGATGGACTGCGACCCGCGCGTGTGGTTGTTTGAGCTAAGGTTCACTTTGTTCATAACTTCTTCCTTCTACAAACTTGGGATGCTCTTTGGGGCCCAACCCAAGTGTTGTAGTCTAGAGCTTATATACACAAAAAAGCTCTTTTAAAGTTTCAATGTGGGACAACCCATTAAAAGGAAACCCACATTTAAATATTTAAATGTCCATTACTTGAACCCGAAAACGACGTCAACTTGCCATTCACTCAAAAATGATTTTGACGAACCGTCTTCACCGTGTGACTTGCCACGCGGTAAGAAACACGTCACCTCTTCGGACCCGCCTCAAAAGACATTTGGGGTCCACTCTATTTTGGGCTCAAAGATGGCTTAAAATAAGCCTATATTACACTATTTTTCCAACACATAACACTGCATAGTAAAGGAAGATGGAATCGCGTCGCTAAGATCACAGGTCTGTGTTTTCTGAATTCGAGTCTTAATTGTTTCGTGATGCACCTTCCTTTCTTTTATTCTCCCAATTCTCAAAACAAATTGTATACATTATGGGTGTTAATTATTATTTAGAATAGAGTTTCTGATATTATAATTTTTTTTGGAATGTGGTGTAGGATTGAAGAGGTGTGGCAAAAGTTGAAGATTAAGATGGATTAATTATCTAAGTCCAAGCATTAAACATGGCAATTTTTCAGACGAAGAAGACGACCTCATCATCCAACTACATAATCTCCTTGGAAACTTTTTTTTTTTTTTTTTTGGGCAATAAAGTTTCAATATATTAAAATTAATTAGTAATACAATATGCTAATCTACCCTCTAGAATCATTGTACAACTGATTAATAATAATGAAGGAATAAAATTTTTTAATCAAGCTACATCATTGATCAATTATTGTCACTTCTAAACTTTACTAAATTAAGCAATTATTAATAATAGTTTAACTTACACAAACTAATTAAATAAAAAAATTATGAGGAACACTCACGTGGTTGTATTTCATCATCATCGGAAAGTTAATAAACCATTTTTTCAGCATATTGGAATAACATTTGAACTAAGGATTATTTACATAATATTATTTTCCAGTGATAATTAAAACAAATTCATATTTTGGGCATATAGCATTATTAATATTCCAGTTGTAATGAATTGCTTGGCTCGTCCTGTCTATAAAGCAGTTTCAATTTTTTCTTCCCTTGTTTTCTTCAGCAAATGTGCCTTCAGATTAGTTGTGTTACTGACATGTTGTTTTCCCCTTGTTTTATGGAAGATTTGAAAACCGTGGCATAGGGTACATCAAAGATCAACTATCTTGATTCTAGGATCACAGTTGCTTGGTGCAAGCGACATGAAGTTCCAATTGAGAAGGTGAATATCTTTGCAAACACTTTCCAAGTTTTTGCCAGCAATTTCTTCTTTGTTGGAGAAGATATTTTGTACCGTTTGTTTGTTGCTTATTATACTCTGCTATGCAGATTTTCAACAAGTCTCTTCTGGCAAAGTTTGCTTGGGCAATGGATGTCATTCCCAGCTTCAGATTCTGAGGTCTTAGTTTAGCACAGGACACTTCTACCCTCGTCTACCCGGTACCCCGCTCTGCTCGTTATCTGTCTCACTTGAAAATTATTCACAAATTTTATTTATTTTTACTTTTTTTAATTTAACTCTTCCAGCAAGGAGTACATGTTGTATTCAGCATACCCTTTCACTCTTCCCCCCTTCCCATCTATTAATGGTGCTAACTGCTAAGAAGCTGTGACATGAGTTGTCTATTGAGACGTTTTAGATGAAACAAATATGTATTACTAACATTTTCAGACATTTTGAACAGTGAAATCTCTTTGATTTTTCATTGTCTTATATTTTGAGGTTCTCTTCTTTTATATTGCCATTGTGAATTTGTGATGTGTTTGAATAATTTATATGGAGTATTGATGGACAGGGTCAGTGCCACACCTTGTGACATGGTTTCAGCTTTATATAATATTTCCTTGTAAAAAACAATGAAATTCACTGTTGTCATTATTACTATTTATCGTTTAATGATAGCATGCATTTGTGCTGATATTGAAGAATCTTTGTTTGTCTTTTGCTTATATTTGTATATTGAGGATCTCTCGGTCTGTGGTCGAACCAGCTCACTTGCTGGCCCGTTTTGTAAACAACATTTCCCTTTATTGTTATATATAAGCTTTCTAATTACCTAAAAAAAACATATCTGCTTTTTGGGTTCTCAAAAAAATAAATAAAATGAATTGCTATAATTAGGAAAAGAAATTTAAATACAATAGTGATATTAAGTCAAAATAATGAGACACTAATTTAGAATCTCTCTAATGGTTGGTGTCAAAATGGTAACATCAAAGTAAAATTTTCATATGTTATAGTGTGAAAATATCATATTTGACAATATATTGTTCAAATGATTCAAATGTTCCACACAATAAAAAATATAGATATCATTTGTGGGTTTCAGCTTCTGACATAAGATATTGGCACATGATCTTGTGTCCAAAACTATCCATTCTCATATTCAATGCACTTAGATGATGTTTTTTTATACTTCAAAATTTTTACATAATTTTATACCGGGAATATTAAGACACAGGAAAAAAATTTAAGAATAGAGAAGATCTATGATTAGACAATAGCTTTTGCCAAATTTTATGTCAATTTTGACATTATTATAATTTGACATGAAAGATAACACTTTATTAGATATGAGTTTAAAACAATTTATCAAATTTTTTTATTTAACCGGAGGATGGCACAGTCGAGCAAACAGTATTTGGTGATTCAAGCTTTAAGGTTCGTAAAAACAAAAAAAAAAGCACTTATAAGGTTGTGTTCGGTTTAATGATTTAAAAAAAATGAGAGAAAAATGAATAAACTATAAGTCAAAATTTTCTTTTTTTTTTTCATTCACAAAAATTATTTTATTCAACCACCCCGGCTTAAGATTATAGTTGACATATTAAAATGTATTGCACACATTCAAGATACATAGAAAGCAAATAGATAGAAGATAGACATGAAAGTCTTGATAATGATATTACACGACTAATACACTGTGGCACATGCTAACACCATGCTTTATTCCACATTAAAAACATACATACATTACATAATTATTTTATTTGCACACACAAAACATGCATACGATTTACAAAGGTCATCTAATTCTTATTAGACTCAGTTTCTGCCTCTTTTCTCTCACCAGCACCATGTCAAGGGTGCCCATGTCCATATTCGTGTCCATGTTCGTGTCCATGGCCATGTTCGGAGCCATAGCCATGACCGCCATACTTGGCATCTTCCACACTTTTCAGTTGCATGTTTTCCTCTGCAAAAAAAGTAAAAAAAAAAAAAAAAAGTTATGTCATAATATGATCTTTTGAAAGAAGTATTAGTACTTCCATTTTATCAAAAACACTATAATTTGTTCTTGCTATGCAATTTTTAAGTGTATAATTGACAAAAGTGTGAATAGTTTTATTATAATTTTGTCTACTAAAAACAAAAAAAATGGAGTGCATCTAGTAAAAAGAAGAGCGAATGAACAGGCTGATAAAAATTAACGGATTTCTAATAAGATTTTTTTACAACTAGACACAATAGGGTGTAGCTCATCAATAATTCTTTTGCCAATGAAATAGCAAGTCTCAAACTGAAGGCTCCACAGTTTTGCCCAATGTAGCTTGTGGGGATGTTGGCATACATCCCATATTTTATACTTCAAGGTTGGACCCTTCCTTGAGGGGTTTCTTGTCATTTTAAAAAGAAAAATAGACACAAAAATAATTCGATCTCATATGTATTTATTATCATGAACTTAGAATCAAGAATTTTGTTTGGGAGGGGCCAATGTATATGTATAAAAAACTTTTGATACATTACTAATTGAATATAATTTCTTGCTAAAGAAGTATTTCACGAGAAAACTAAATAAATTTAAAAAATAATTTTTACAGTTTTAAACTATTAGATTTTAGTATACAATCAGTTAAACCACTATTTTAAGCGATTTTATTGATTGATAGAATCTAGTAAGTAAAAAGTGAAAATGGCTTAAGATTCTTGAAAAACACTTAAATTCAGTGGTGTTGAGTGTTACATATTAGTTGATTTGTTTAGAAATCAATCGATTAAGACATGATATGTCATTGTAAATAAATTTAAAGGGTGAAGTTTTAGGTTCTTTAGCATTACTCATAAAAACATATACATACCATTTGATTTTTAAAATAAAAAACAATAAATAACATGTACCTCTTGTTTTAATAAAATCAACTTAGATAAAATTGATACTATTATTTAAAATGCGATATAATTAAAGATCATTTCATTAGGCATTGTAAAATACTAATGAAATAAAAAGTTAGTAAAATAATTCTTATAAAATTAAAAAAATATCCTATTTTTTTTTTTTTTTCACTAAAAGACAAATTGGTTACAAAACCAAAAAAAATAGATCTAAACAAAATATCACATCAAACCCCATAATCATTTCACTTTTTCTCTCATAAACACCACACCCAACCACAAAAAAATCGAATTATCTTCCCAAACACAAAAAAAAAATTTCTCCAATAACATCCTACAACTAAAAAACCTACTTCCCAAACACCTACAAAGATTATTTCATTAGGCATTGTAAAATACTAATGAAATAAGAAGTTAGTAAAATAATTCTTATAAAATTAAAAAAATATTCTATTATACATTTTACAAATACTCATTAATATAGAATTAATAATAAATTGTCAAAAATAAGAGGGGGATAAGGCCCTCCAGCCCCTACATAGTTCCGCCCCTCAACTTTTGAAAAATTATTTTTTTACCCCTAATAAAAATATATATTTCAATTTAATCCAAGTAATATCTTGAAATTTTTATATCACTATTTTCTTTACTTTTTTTTAATAAAAAAAATGTTTAATTTTTCACTTTAAATGTTTAATTATGCTAAAAAAAATTCTTATAAATTTTATAGTAGAGAAATGTTATATATGACTGATATTTTGTCACTATTTTATATCACCTCTTACACGACACATAATTATTACACAATTAATGACAACTAATAATATATTGTCATATAATTCAATTATTCAAAACGGTGAAAAAAATAAGTAATATATAATAGCCTGTGCATATTATTTATTCATCATTTTCTCATTTCTTTCTCTATCCTCACTATATCTCTTTATGTGTGTGCATTTTAATATAATTTTGTTTTCATATTTTATGAGGGTATATGTAATTATTTTTTAAACCATGATAATCATCACATATAAAATAAATTAACAACAATAAAGATAGTGATTAGTTAACTTGATCTTACATTTAAATATAATTTTTGCATCGCATTAATTTTTAGTCCTACCATCAAATATAAATTAAATTAAATTATAATTTTTATTAAGATTTTAATTCAAAAGTGCCTTTTCTGAGACAAAATCCTGGCTCCTTCACTGCTTACCACCACCATGTCTAGGATGCCCACCATGGCCAGGGTGCCCGTGTCCATGATCATGTTCATGGCCATGCTCGTAGCCATAGCCATGTCCACCATACTTGGCTTCTTCCACACTTTTCAATTGCATATTTTCCTCTAGAAGAGAAAAAAAAAAAAAAAAAACATTTTGTCATAATATGATACTTTGAAAGAAGTATTAATACAAGGTAATATAACGATTAGTAATGGGGGTGCTGCTAGTAATTCCATCAAAAACACTATAATTTGTTCTTATTATGCAATTTTCAGTGTATAATTGACAAAAGTATGAATGGCTTTATTATAATTTTGTATACTAACAACAAAAAAATGGAGTGCATCTAGTAAAAAGGAGAGTGACTAAACATGATAATAAAAATTAACGGAAATATTTGATAAGAAATGCCTCTATGGATATCATTATTGAAACAATTAATAAGATATATATATATATATATATGTTTGGCATGCAATGGAGAAAGTGAGGAACTCACGAGTTTCAGCTAGCTCTCTGGCTGAAACCGCAGAGGAGATGAGTAGGACTGCCAACACAAGTCCAAGAAGAAGAAAAGTTTTGGAGTACGCCATTTTGAAGGGAGATGAGTAGGACTGCCAACACAAGTCCATGATGCTTCAATTTGATATTTATTAATTAAAAATATAAAATATAATATTTTTTTGTTTATTTTTAAGAAATAATTTAATAAGAGTCGAATGATGAATTATGTAAAATAATACTCCAAAATTACCAAATAATCACTCGTTATTTAGTGGTCTAGGAATAATATCCCATATCATTTATCACTTGACATTTATTAAATAATCTCTTAAAATCCTGACAAAAAATATTGAGTCCCATAATTTTAATTAAAAATATCAAATTGAGAAACTTGTCTCGAGACCACAGAAAATTATTTTTCTGAAGCGGCAAATTGTCTCAAACCTGCATCATTTGTCTCCTTCTATCCGTTCATGTCCATCCTTTTCATGAATCGATTATTTATGAATTCTTAATCTATTTATTTATTAAAATTTTAATAAGTATGTTATGTGTTTTATATATGATCTGATTTTTTTGTAAATTTTTAATAAAATTCTAACAAAAAAAATGAAATATTACAAGATAATATTTTGAGTGTATTAACTGTTGAGTGTTAAAGTTTACAGAAGTAAAATATAAATGAATCATAATTTACAGAGATTTGTTGTTTTAGAAAAAGTAAAATGATAAAAAGATAATTATACAAAAAAAGAAAGGCAAAAAATAAAAAACAAAAGTTAATGCCCTCATTTACCCAAAGTTCTAATGGCCCTATTTGGTAGGGTTTATTTCTAATTTATTTCAGTTTTTAACTTAATTTAAACTATTTTGATGTGTTTGGTTCAGCTTAATAATATAATTTATAACTTTTTGTAAGTCAAAAATCAACTTATTCTTTGAGTGAATGGAGAAGAAACTTAATTTATAAATCAAAAATTAACTTATGTTCACTATTATAAATTATAAACGACTAAATTATAAATTATAATCACTTCTCCAAAAACTTACCAAAGAGGGCCAATATCACCGGCGGTTGAACAAATGAGTGGACCCAAAAATCCCTGAAAAAGCAAGTACTGTTTTGTACTCTTCCTTTTTTATGGCCTATTGTGTGAAGGGATTATTAAAATTCACTAACTTTTAATTTTTTTTTTTCATAAAAAAAATTAAAAAGTTCAAAAAAAATTAAATTTTAACAATCTTTTTAAAACACTCCTATCTCTAAATAAAACTGGTCAATAGTCAAGTCATTGTGTGTTTTTTTATTTATTATACATAGCAAATCATAATTCATAGAAATTGTTTAACTGTTTCGAAAGATCACTGTGCCGGTGTTTGGCAAGTGGGTTTGCAGGTTTTTTTTGACTATTTTAGCTATAAAAAACAAAATAGACTATTTTAGCCATAACAAACAAAATATCACATCCAACCCATAATCATTACATTCTTCTCTCACAAAAAAACTCAAAAAAGCAAAAAAGTCAAAAAGTTCTTCCCAAACCAAGCTTTTAAGCCCAGGTTAAAATAGTCAAAAAAGTTAAAAAGCCAAAAAGCTAACCCACTTCCTAAACGGAGGCACATGTGTATATTAGGAATGGAAATGGGTTGAGTTTTTTGAGTTTTTCAAGTGAATTTTTTATTTTAATCTTAATTATTTTGGTGATATAATTTCATAATTTACTCTAATTTTAACCGTTTTAACCTTCTTATCCTATAATTTACTCTACTCTACCAGTGTCGTCCCGAACCTTTTTAATAAAATTGGGTAGGGACAAATATAATCAAGTCGGTAATTTTGCTATTCATGATGTGTGCATGGTACTAATGAGATGGCACAGAAAAAACAAAATTAAATAAATGGGATAGACTATGTTTGTTTGCTTTTCAGAATATATTTTCAGATTTTTTTTAATAAAAAAACTAAAATTTAATTTGATAAAAAAATGGAAAAATAAAAAATACATATTATTTTTATATAATTTTATAAATAATCTTTAAAAATTTTAAAATATATTTTTAATATTTATTTTTATCAAACCATTTTTTTTTTTAATTCTGAATATTGTTTGAGAAAAACAAATCAAACATGTTACATACCCCTCCTCTTCCATTCAATCAAGAAAAAGTTTAAGCGCACAAAAAAATAAAAAACAGAATATGTAAATTTGTATATTTTGTGCCTACGTTTGGGAAGAAAATTTTGGGGCTTTTTTGGCTATTTTAGCCACAAAAGACAAAATAGGCTATTTTAGCCACAAAAAACAAAACATCACATCCAACCCATAATCATTACACTCTTCTCTCACAAAAAAATTCAAAAAAGCCAAAAAGCCAAAAAGCCCTTCCCAAACCAAGCTTTTTAGCCCAGGCTAAAATAGCCAAAAAAACCAAAAAGCCAAAAAGCCAACCCACTTCCCAAACGTAGGCTGTATATAATTCTTTTACACATGTAGTACGGTTGTTCAATCAAACAAGTGAATCAGATTAAATTCATCTACGTATCGTGAAATTATTCAATATTTTTTAAGTAATATTTCATTTTATTTATTTCTCCCATCTTGGCCATACATACAATTAATGCATGCCTATCCTATGGCGTATCCCATATGGCTTTGACCTTGGGGTCTACAGTACCAACCCACAATAATGAAGGTCAATTATTGAGTAGTCCTCCAACATTATCTAGTATATTTACAAAAATGTTAAGACGTTTTGATAGACGTTTTGAAAATTCTATCAAAAGTTATGTTAAATGTCCATATGAGATTCACATTATATAAGATATTTGGTAGAATTTTTAGAATTTCTAATATTACTCATATTTATATAGTTCCCCAAATTAATTATTTGGCTAAAAAAAAAATATTAGTGAAATATGCTAATCCATCTTTATTAGATAATTATTTTAAAAAATGATAATTTACTTAACGTATTGTAATTTTTCATTGTCTAAAAATATCCTGTATATGTGTTACTCCATAAATATTTAATAATTTTCGTATAATAAGGAGTTCTGGTTTTGTTTGATATAGTTTTTGGTGGATTTAAAACTGATAATCATAAAATATAAACTAAAAATATCTCTTCTTTTATTTCTAAATCATTTTTACAATTTATATAAGGTATTTATGTCTTACAAGAGCAACTCTAACACTACTCTTCCACTGTGTTTAGTTCATGAATTTAGGTAGAGATTTGAAAACAAAAAAGAAAAAAATAGGTAAAATGTGAAAATATAATTACATTTCACACATCTTTTTTCCTTTCTTTTCCAAATCCATGAATCAAACACAACTTTCACTTTTCACTAGCTAAAGTACCAAAAAAAATACTCTTTATTTTACCTAATCAGGTTCTCATCAATTTCGTTTATTTTGTAAGTCATTGTATGTAAATCATTGGAAAATCCGATAATTATAATCATATTATTTTGTTATATTTTGTCTTAAAAATATAAAAAATAAACGATTTATTTCTAAAAATATTCTTACCATCCATTTTAAAATATATGTATATATAATTAAAATTATTAGATTAATTTAATTTTTTTAAATATACCATCTAGATATAAAAGCACTCATAAAATGAATTATTAAAATTGGGCCGGTGGTTGTCCATGAACCCAACTGGGCAATACAGTCCACGAACGTGGACCGGAAAGGGGCCCAATGTCGGAAATGGATACAAAGAACAGAGGGTGATGTCATACGTGACGCAAAATGTAATGTATAGGCAGAATTTCAAAAGAGTAAAAAGTAAAAAAATAATTTATAAATGATGAGAGTATATGATTTATTTGCATGATAAGAGTAAAAAGTAAAAAAATAATTTATAAATGATGAGAGTATATGATTTATTTGCATGATCTAGCGCATAATCATTTGTACCTCCATCGTTTTAAAATTATTTTTGTACTTTTTACTTCTTTTTTTTTAATATTTTCCTTAATAAATATTTTACCGTTTTGATGCAAAATTAGAAAAATTATTTTGTGATTCAAGGACACTACATTGCCATGCCTTGACCAATCACAAATCAACATGCTCTTTGTTATTTTTTAATTACCCAATATAAAATTATAGGTCTCACTCTCTCTATGAAGACAAATTATTTGGTAGTCTTGTGGCACAGCCACATAGTGCCTCATGTGTATGGTGATTAGTGGAGAAAATAGAACTTATAATTTTGTATTGGGTGATTAAGAAAAGACAATAGACATCAGGGGTGTTTGCAGTTCGGATTTAGATGGTTTGCGGATCGGTTTGGACCCGCTCGTATCTATGCGGTTTGGGAAAAAGACAACTCCCAACTGCTCGCAATGTGGTTTGCGGTTTGTGTGAATAAGGTTCGTGGATGTGCGAGCAGTTGAGGGCAGTTTGCGGATTGTTCTTTTTTCTTCAAAATTTTATTTTTGAGCCTTATTTTTTTACCATTTTATAAATATTTATTTTGGGATATTTTCTCCCTATTTTCTAAAATGTTCCAACATTAATAATTAATGAATTAAAACTTATAAAATTAAAAACACAACAAAATCAATTCGTAACATAAACAAATCATTCAAAATCTTAAATCAAATTATAAACTAACACAAGTATATATTTCAAAATCCTAAACTATAACTGCATATTCATTAAGGAATTTAAAATTCCAAATCACACTTCATCCGTGACAAGTTCAATTATGTAACAATAATAATATAATTAGTATTTATTCAATTTCAGTTGATATAATACTATTAGCAAATGTAATACTAAAGTAAGTTTAAAGAATAAAGGGTGTTTTGTTTTGGGCAAAAATATCTAGGTGGGATATATGAATGAAATCAATGGTTAAGATAAAAAAATAAAAATAAATAAAAGTGCGGGCGGTTTCTTGCGGGTGCGGGTTAAACCCGCAACCTGCCCGCATTGTATTTGCGAAACCGCCCATTTGTATGCGGATTGGGTAGGTTGGGCGGTTTTTGCGGATCGGATAAACCGTTGCCCACCCCTAACATGATAATTTATAATTGATCAGGAACATGATCACTTGGTGCATCTGGACCACGAAATAATTTTTCTTTGAAAAAAACAAATCAATGTTAATTTTGA